AACTGGTAAGTCACAATAAATCCTAAGTCCACGGGATAATCCTCTATCACCACATTACTTCTCCCAACCTACGTGGATAATGGGACTCTACCTTACAGAAGTGATAGAAGTGCCTCTCTCACACTCCACCTGATCAGGGTCTCTTTCATAGATAAAAGATTCTACACATTTGATCACATCTCCACTCGTGATCCAAATGTCACACTCTACATCCTCCGTGCATATTACTAATGCACCTCTAGGCATTTATACTCCACCTTATCAAAAGACATCCAAGTCACTGCTAATGCATCACAAATGCACTGCGGCAAAATAACATCTTTCGATGACCACAAAGATTACTCCAATCACCAAAACTCCAAAAAATCCACAAAGAAAATGGCGAAGGTGGCACTCACAAAGAAAAATCGAAAAAAAGAGTCGGTTACTTCACAACACTCATAAAGGAGGCTCACAAAGAGAAAGAATATAACCCTAACATGGCTACCTCACATAATCTCAGAAACCACATAGGCTCACAAAGATAAAGGAGAGAAATGGCTGCCCAACTTTCTTCTCACTACCGCACTCTCACTCCACTCATAGAGCAAATAGAGTACGCCACAAAACTTAACCCACTATGCATGTAAACATATTACACAAAGTAATAAGTCACTCTAATTCATGCAATTACACACATCAAACATATTGAAAGTGTAAAATCAACATTGCAACAGAATTAAGTGACCACATACATGCAGAAAGGATTACACACAGATGCAATGTAAGAACTAGGTTTATTCTCTCAATAAACCTCACTAGAATTACTACTCCACCCTAAAGTCATATTCCCCTTGTCTCTATGCTCTTCTTTCCTTTTATTATCATCTTAGGACAATCTCTTTCAACTATGTCCAAATTTTACCACAGTTAAAATATATGTTATTTTTCGACTTGCCTTAGACCTATACATGCCAACAATACCAAATAATGATCACAAGCAAAGTACTGACACATAATTCACACAGAACAATCGAGTAAATTTTCCAAAGGTCACATGCAATTCTATCGGTGTAGAAAAATTGGTGACAAATTCACATAGAATTTAAGGCAATTAATTAACATGTAATTCCTAGGTTTAGCAACAAGCAATGGTTATCCCAAACCTAACGTCACCCCACACAATGACTTCTAACGCAAAAAATAAATAATTAACCTACACATTTATTTTAACTGCAATAATAAAAAGCAAAGAATACGATACCGAGCGGACCACGTCTGAAGGTCCGTAAATATCGAGAGATGCGAATTCATTACTTCAGGACTATCACTATTCATCCTAAAGTCACTAGCAACCACAGCAACACGAAAATAGCACCTGACACCTGAATGTCCAAGGGCAAAATCATCCAACTTTCACTGCATTGCTCAAAACTGAAATCCGACAACACCGGAGGGTTTGTATCCTTACCAGCAACATTATGCCTGAAGACACCATCCCCAGATTCAGTCCCACGTGCCTTGTCCACGCGCCAGCGACACCCCAACCTTTCTGAACCTCTCCACCTGCACAGTCCAATGGTGGTATCCGTTTCTCCAAATTGTTTTTGGTTTCACCAGAAAACGCCAAAACAAATCCCGCCGAAAATTGAAAAATTGGACAGTTTCTGCCTCTGATTTCTAGATCCGTTTCTGACCACTTCCAGCCTGTTTTAGCTCTAAAAATCACAGATTTATCAACAAGACAAGCTCTGATACCATTTATAGCGAAAATCTCTTGATAAATTTTGATTTCGGGCTCAGAAAACAATCAAACGAACACTGGTTTATCTCAGCTCGACCAAAAACTTTCGCCTTTACTTTGGACTGCTCTCTTTCTCTCTAACCCCACAAAGGAAAATGGTGGTGATAGCAATCTACAAAGGTATGGAGAGGAAGACGAAGATATTATAATTGGTTGAATCTCACTCACAACCTCACATGACTTCCCTCTCTCTCGGTTGCCTCTCTTCTCTCAACTCTCCTCTCCATTGCTACAACACACACACACGAAAAAATGGTTGGGAGATAAATACATATATATAGGTTAGTTTAGTTTAGGTCATCAAATATGGGCCAAAAGATCTCTAAGTGGACTGCTGTATATACTAAACTAATGGGCCAATTTTCAACTCTATATTAATCACTAAATGGTCTAACTAACCAAATAATCATCCAACCCAAATCCGAGCCATCCAAAAGTGTAGTTCGTCTCCGAGCCGAGCCAAGTCTATGGTGTCGATAAATAATCCGACAACTATTTTAAATCATCGCCCGGATTATTGGGTATCAAAAACCCAACAATATCAATTTTCTTCAAGAGATCTTATAATTTGAAAATTTTTGCTGTGCTTTTTTCCCCATTTAAACCCACATCAGACCTCATTATATGGGTACAAAACTGTACCGACCCCTTTTAATTTCCGTTTCAGGTCAAGAAAGATGATATGTTGGACTACAAGATGGAAAGAATTCCTTTTCTTGAGGAGCAGGTAAGGAAGATAAGAGAAGGGGGAAAACTCTTAACAATGGACATTCATAGGCTATTATTGTCTGAAGACAACAGGTTCGACTTTGTAAACGAAGTGGCTGCTGAGGCCAAGCAGTACGTTGAGAACAACCGCGATGAGTACGGTGCAAAGAAAGCGATCCTTCATGTCCTCAGTAATCGTATGAATGATGCTGGATTTTATCGTCCAGAGGCATACATTGAATCAGACCCCTTCAAACCAGGTCCTGGATATCTGAGAGAAGAACTTTAGATTAGATGGATGCACACTCTTGTTTTAACTGAAATTCTGAAGGTTGTAATTTTGTTACATTCATATCATTAAACTTTGGAATTTACCACTCACCATCCTGCAAAATTATCTGCCGACCATACTTAGCCCAAGTTTGGTTTAGATAAAAATCAGATTTTTAGTAGATTTGATAAAAGTTGATGAAATGTGTAGTTGAAAAGTTGTTGAATTTGACTTGAATTTTAATCCACTTTTGTTGTTCAACCAAACACGAAATGGGGTGGAGCAACTTCAGCCCCGTGGTGGATTTGAAAAATCCTCATCACTGCCTCGTTAAAGACACGAACTCCAAAGCACATATCTAGTAATATGTACAAAGGAAGGGCTTCCATTTCTAATGCCTCTTTCATTTGCTTCCTTTCTTCCTTCCAGCTCAGAATGCCTAATGCTTGTTATTTAGTCTCAAAACTAACCGCCAGAAGCTCAGTTTCTGGTGTTTCTTTCAGTTCAGGAGGCCAAGCAATATGCTAGACTCCCTGGCCCAGCATCCTCGGTTGCCTTTACTTCATCTATAATAGTGGCATCGGTAAAAATAAGCAGAATTTTTACTTTTTGGAGGATTAGATTTGTTTAGCCTTTGTTTGAAAGTGATTAGTTAAAAATCACTCAACCCCCCACGCCACCCAAAAAAAAAAAAAAAGACATCTTTATTGTGTTGCGGAAATAAGTATGCTTTCGATTGAGCACTTAATCAAGTATTAGTAATTAGATGAAATTAAGAAATCACTGTTTTTTAACTTCGAAACAAAGACATCTTTATTCTTTGGTTGTCGGACTATTTGTCTAATTTGGAAGGAAATAATTTGTGCTCGTCTCAAGGAAGAATTGTTTGTAATTTTGAATATTAACCTGTTCCAACAACTGCGTGTAGAAGCAAAAATTAGTTCTAAAAACCAGCGTAAGTAATCTTCATAAAAATCTTCCAAATCAAAGAGTCAACAAAAAGAGATCTATAATTGTTATTGCGTTGGTCCGGAAGTTTACTCAGTGCGCATTCGAAGGGTAGCAACTGCGGGTTCGAGTCATTAAAAAAAAATAATAATAATAATAAAAATCTATAATTCAACGACATTGACTTGAGTCAACAAAAAGTGCTCTATAATTCAACAGGGAACATCATCATAGTTCTATAACGTATTAAAGACGTTTTCCTAATGGACCTACGCCTTTTTTCTATTTCCATCTCTATATTTTGGAAAGGATAAAAAACGTCGTGTTTGATACGATAATTGAACAATAATGTCTTATATTGCAGTTTTGTCTATATTGAAGTTTTCTTAGTCTTTGGTACTAATATGTATCTCTCTCGTCACTACCACAAGACTTTATAATGTGTTTGGTATGATGAATTGCCAAATTCAATAAATAATTAAAAAGAAAAGAATAAAATCTATGCATTAATGTATTATTAGTATTTAAAACTATGCTCAGGTCTTGTTTACTTTTGGCACCAATATATATGTTATGCGAAAAAATATTGGGGCGTTTACTTTATTAACATTGAAAAATTCTACTTGTACATAACTATTGCACATAATGGTGTCCATAATGTGATGTGGCAATCATCTGATTGTTTATGTGCAAATGTGAGATTTGAATTAAATATTGGATCCAGTGTCATGTGTAATTATGGACACAATTATGTAAACAATTATGCACATGTAGCACTTCCCGTTAACATTACTGATTCATCAACCTCGATTTTTTTTGGGTTTTCCCATGTTTATGAAGAACATGTTTAAAACAATACACACAATGAAATAAATCATTTCCTTCCTCGTGTTTTTAAAATGAAATCACAATCAATTTTCAGCAATTCAACAAACAATAATATGCCTAACCAAGCAACGCAAATACCCAAATAAATTTATTACAATAGACATTGATCTTCTAGGCGAACAACTCGTTCACTAGTTTGAAATTTTTGGCTTTTCACATATAATCCAATTGGATTTCGAACCGATCTCCATTTTCCTGGTCAGTCTAGTTAGGTACTCGAATCATGATTGTAAAGACTTTCTTATGTTGGATGTGGATTTTTAGCTGTCTCCCCCATTTTGTACGACAAATTATGGCATTGATTGAGGGACGGCGGGGTCCACCACTTGTACCGTGTCTAGTGGTTTGTGAGATTATAAAATGATCATGATTTCATGAACACAAACAACTCAAAACTTCAATCTTTTCTTTTGATTCACTATCAGAGGAAAAAATGACAGAGCTTAAAATACTCATTTTGCTTGTGTTTGTACTTTCTCTTTTCATGAAACCAACTTCAGTACTATCCGCTTATGAAGTTAGGTGCATAGAGAGGGAGAGACAAGCTCTTCTTAAGTTTAAGCAAGGCCTTATATACGACTCTGACATTCTCTCATCGTGGGGAAGTGGAGAAGATAAAAAGGAATGTTGCAAATGGGAACATGTCGAGTGTAGCAACAAAACTGGTCACGTAATCCGCCTTGATATGTTTTCTATATTGAGAGGAGGTAAGATTAGTCCAGTGTTGGCTGAGTTGCGGCACTTGAATTATTTGGACTTCAGTTACAATCATTTGAGAGTCGATAATCTTGAGTGGCTCTCTCATCTTTCTTTGTTAAAACATCTTGGCTTGAGTGGCGTTAACCTTAACCAAACCAACTGGGTGCAGCCAATTTCAAAGCTCTCTTTCCTTGAGGAACTGTACTTGTCGGGTTGTCAACTTGGCAATACTCTGCCTGCTTTTGATATCTTTGCAAATTCTTCTCCGTCCTCTCTTTCTGTCCTCGATCTATCCAAGAATGATCTCGCTTCCTTTTCCATGAACCACTCGTTTTTAAACTTAAAAGAGTTGAGACTTAATGACAATCAGTTGAATGAGTTTCACCCACAAAGCCTCGAGCAACCTTCAAGTCTTGAATATTTGGATTTGTCTAACAATAAGCTTGGGGGATCCTTGCCGGACTTGAGAGCATATTCATCATTGCAACAATTAGCTCTCTCCAATAATCAATTTAAAAGGCTAGCCGAAGGTATTTGGCAACTTTCCAAGCTAAAAAAATTGGACCTCTCTTCAAATTCTTTGGAAGGGACAATCACAGAAGAACACCTCTCAAGCCTAGCCAACTTAGACTACCTAGATTTGTCCTACAATTCCCTAGCTTTGAAATTGAGCTCTGATTGGATTCCTCCATTTCAAATGAGAACATTATACCTCAGATTTTGCAAAGTGGGACCTGATTTTCCAAAATGGCTTCAAACTCAGGAAAGTCTTTCTGTCCTTGATATGTCTTTTGCTAGCATATCAGATACATTACCTACTTGGTTTTGGAATTTCACTTCTTTGTCAAGCTTAAATCTCTCTTATAACCACATTAGTGGAGAAATTCCTGGTCAATCCTCAAGCAATGTTGGTTTTTCTTCACCTGTAGATTTAAGTAGCAATAATTTTTCTGGTCCAATTCCAATATTTCTTTTTCGTTCAATAGATATACGACTATCCAGAAATATGTTTTCGGGATCCATTTCTCACTTATGCACAATGTCCACTCCTTTTACTGCCGAGGTCCTTGATCTCTCAGATAATCAATTGACAGGAGGGCTTCCCGGTTGCTGGATCTTCACAGGCTTTTTAGAACTTCTCAATTTGGCAAATAATAAGTTCTCAGGTGAAATCCCCCCAAGTTTGGGCTCTCAGATTCGATTAAAGATGTTACATTTGCGCAATAATAATTTAATTGGCGAACTACCTTCCTCTTTGAAGAACTGCAGCGACTTGCGCATGCTTGATGTGGGAGGAAACAAGTTAACAGGTACTATTCCACAATGGATAGGAACTCACCTAACAAGTTTGACAGTTCTTAGCTTTCGATTTAATAAATTTCATGGAAACATACATCCAACAATTTGCCACCTTACCGATATTCAAATCTTGGACCTTTCAAGGAATAATATATCAGGGAAAATTCCAGAATGTTTCAACAATTTCACTTCTTTTGTTCAAGAGGGTAATTCAACTGAAAGCACTAGATTTTATGTATATCCTAATGTCCAAAATCACTTTGAGAGTGTACCTTACGTTGATACTTATGCTGACAATGTTTTGGTCCATTGGAAAGGACGAGAGTCAGAATATAGAAAACTAGGAATTTTGAAAGGGATTGATCTTTCTAGCAATAAGTTAGTTGGAACTATTCCTCATCACTTTGCTGATATGAGGGGTTTAGTTTTCTTGAACTTATCAAGAAACCATTTGACGGGCAATATCATATCAAGCATTGGTCAAATGGAGAGGTTGGAGTGGCTCGACTTGTCTAGAAACAAGCTTTCTGGGAAGATCCCAAACAGCCTTGCAAAATTACATTTTCTCAGCGTTTTGGACTTATCAAACAATAATTTGACGGGGATGATTCCATTAGGCACTCAACTCCAGAGCTTCGACCCCTCTATGTATGCTGGGAATAGCCAACTCTGTGGGCTTCCTCTGGCAGAGTGTCCTAGAGAATCTCCTAACCCTGATCATGGACATGGCAGCAAAATTGAAGAAGACGATGATGAGTTTATAAGTCGAGAGTTTTATATTTGCATGGCTTTTGGTTTCATTACTGGATTCTGGTCAATTCTTGTTCCTCTATTTCTCAAGCATTCATGGAGACAATCCTTTTTTAACTTCTGGAGCAACATTGGAGATTGGATCTACGTGACAACAATGGTCCATACGGCACGATTCAAGAGAAAATTTCTGGCCTAGCCTAATGGTATAATATTATTTATGGACATTACATTAATATGCAAAAGTTAATATCCTAATCTCATTTTGTTTATTACTGACATCGGTGCCTCTTTCTCTTCTGGGAAACAACACAGTTTCAATTGTCTGTGGAACCAATTGGTGGCTGACTGGGAAATGAAGTTGTTTCTACTCTAATTAGCACCAGTGTCGTGTTTTATAAATAGTCGAATAAAATAAAATAAAATAAAATTGCTAGATCTCAATTAACTAGCTTGGTTGTGAATTGGTTACTTTGATTATCAAACTAAGGTAATGTTTGATTACACACCAATTCTCAAGGAAATGGAATTGTAATTCCATCTTTTCATTTTTTTGGCGTTTGATTGGCAAAAAATTTCCATGGAATTCATTTTCCACCTTTTGATGCCACATAGACATTTTCCTTTTTTTTTGAGGACCCTGATTACTATCATTTATTTATTTATTTTTTGGCAATGGAAACAAATTCTAAGAATTATTGTAAAAAAATATTTTCCTTTAATTGACAATTTTCATGTAAAATAAAGCCAAACGCCAAAAGAGAAATGATTTTCTTGAATTTTTTTTTTGGTTGGCAATGAAAACAAATTTCATTCTCAATACCAGTAAAATCTATCTCTTTAATTGATAATTTTTATGTAAGACATAGTCAAACGAATACCAAAAAACACTTTTATTTCAACATTTTTCACTTGAAAAATTATAAAAATCAAACACAATAATTTACAATTCCCAAGAAAACAATTTCTAGGCAATTCAATTCCCTATAATTCGTTTTCAATTCAATTCAATTCAATTTCACCTTTACAATCAAACGGACCCTAAATATAAATTATGATGGAGATCAAGTAAATCGTCAAATTAATTAGTTTCTTGAAACATAAAAAACTTCTTTAATTAATATACATTTTACCTTTTATGTAAAAGACATCTAGATATGTCCAATGAAAATTTTGAATCTGAAGGTAAGAACTGAGAATAAACGGTCTCGAATTAGTCAACTGAAATTAAGAGTATCTAACGAGTCGGGAATTCAAGACGAGCCATGTTGGTCCAGGTAGCAAATTAGGCTACTTTGATTTTATTTTTCTTTCTTTTGTTGATTTTAAACACCAAAAGATGAAATAGGTAACTTCCGGGGTTGATGGTCTCCCATAGAGGTAGAGCGCCCACAGGAAGTAGATAACCTTGCGTAGAGGTAGAGCGCCCCCAGAGAGTTGATGGCCTCGCATCGGCGTGTAGTGACCCGCCTTGTTCATCGCTGGGGTAATTTTCTAGACTAGCTTATATCAGGCAGCAAAATCTATTGAGTTAAAATTTACTTGACAAGTTTATGTTATATTAGTACTTATATGTTAATTAAGTCTTCTTAAAATGTATTGAGATATATATATATATATATATATATAATAAAAATAAAAAATTCTCAAAGTCACATCTACATTTTTCAAAATTTCATTTCCACATATAGCGCGGTCATCTTGCATTATCTATCATGTATAAGTAACCTAGTCGATATCAAGATAACCAAATTTTTATTTATGTTTTTGAATTTTTGAGTATCCAAATAAATGATTAAGCTTGTAATCTACCCGGCTTTGATGCCAAGATGATCTCTAGGTTTTCCACAATACAAAAAGACTTTTGACTTTAACCAACTAAAAGGTCTCTATAATTTAATGAATTGTATCATCTTATTGACTAACGTACTAAAGACGTTCTCCTAATGGACCTACATCTTTTGTAATCCTATCTTGAAAACCATAGAAATGTTTCATGCGTATAAAGAAGAAAAAAGTAAAAATAATGTGTCATGTTGCATATATATAAGATTTCTTTATATTTAGTACGAATACGTATCTTTCTCTTGTTACTATGAGATGACTTTATAACGTATTTGATATAATGAGTTGACCAGTATAATAGATAGTTAGCGTTGATGCTAATTCCACCTATAACTGAACAATCAAATATGTGAGTTATGGAATTAACTTGAAAAAGAAAAAAGGAAATTAAAACTAAATTTGAAGAATGAAGAACAATGAATTCCCCTTTTTAATTCGACTTAGAAAAGTCAATCCAACACCACAAAGGTAGCACCAAATTGGAGACTTACAGTCATAGAGAGAGTGCATACGAAGGCTGAAACTGAGTTTTAAAGGCACATAGCAGGGGACGGTTTTTTGTGTTGGCAAAGTGAGGCTAAGAGACTCCAATTTATAGGCAATGAACAAACACATTTCCCATATTGTTTGGCAAGATAGAGTTCAAGAAAGTTGAAATTGGTTACCAAGGATAAAGATAGTGCAACCGTCTAACTTCCCATGAGAAAAGGGATAGAAGTCCCTTTTTCAAATTATCTCAAAAATTGGATATTTAGCACCTAACCCAATGGGCTGATTTCCTCTAATTACCCAATAGGATTGTGCTACATCAATTGTGGTGTGTATTTATTAATATTCTTCAATTCCGGGCTTATAGGATATGAAGACAAACGGACCTTGATTTTTCATCATTGCCTAGGATTTATTTGGGCATCACTCACTAAAATAACCAACAGTTAGAAAAGAAAAAATAATAAATCTTTGCATTGCAATATTGTTAACATTCAACACTATGCTCGCATCTTCTATACCTTTTGGAACCAATATGTACGCTATGAGAAAAAAGTCAAGCTACACCTACAAAGAGAAACTTCACAGAAGTATTACAGATAAGATTCAATAGTGAGTATGTGGTTTATTTTTTGCAATAAAACATTCACATGGGCCCACACCCATGGGAGAGCATATAAACATTCTGCGAATTTTTCTTTCTTTACACTGAGAATAATCCATGAGAAAAATATTGTGGTGTCTACTCTATTAACAGTCCCAATCCATCAACATCAATCTTTTTGGTTTTCCACATTGGGCAAGGTTTTTCTATTTCCCGAAAAATGCGTCAAAAATCATGCACAGAACATAGATATTTTCTTTCCTCGTATTTCAAAAATCATATTACAATCAAATTACAACAGTTCCACTAACAATGTTACAATAATATGCCCAACCAACCACGCAATGCAAATACAAATAAATCTACTATAACAGTCATTGATCTTTTAGTCAGGAGGAAAATCTTTCAATAGGTTTGAATGCTCGGCTTTTTACATATAATCGAATTAGATTTTGAACCGCTTCCATATTTTCCAGATCAGTCTACTTATATATTTATAACACCAGTCCAAAGTGACTCTGGACTTTTAGCTGTTAGACCTCCATTCTATGCGTTACGAAATATTATGGAATTCATTGTGGGGCTGGTGTCTCCAGGTTCTTAAAGTGGATGTGGACTTGTACTATGTATGGTGGGTTTTTGAGATTATAAAATGATCATGATTGTATGAACACGAACAACTTAAAAATTTTAATCTTTTTTATTACTATCGGAAGAAAAAAACAAAAGAGAGAGCTTAAAACATTGATCAAAATACTCATTTTGTTGGTGTTTGTATTCTCTTTTCATGAAACCAACTTTATTACTATCCGCTTCTCACTTCTCAGGTTAGGTGCATAGAGAGGGAGAGACGAGCTCTTCTCAAGTTTAAGCAAGGCCTTATAAACGACCATGACTTGCTCTCGTCCTGGGGAAGTGGAAAAAGCCAAAGGGAATGCTGCAAATGGTTTGATGTCTAGTGTAGCAATAAAACCGGTCACATCTTGAACTATTTCTTCCGTTTTTGGGAGGTAAGATAAGTCCAGTGTTGATTGAATTATTTGGACTTCGGATACAGTGATTTGAGAGTCGATCATCTTGAGTGGCTTTCTCATCTTCCTTTGTTAATACGTCTTGGCTTGAGTGGTGTTAACCTTAAAGAAACCAAATGGGTGCAGCAAATTTTTAAGCTCTCTTTCCTTGAGGAACTATACTTGTCAGATTGTCAACTTGCCTGTACTCTGCCTGTCTCTGATATCTTTGCAAATTCATTTTTCTCCTTTCTTTCTGTCCTCAATCTATCCTACAATGGTTTCACTTCCTCCGTATTCCACTCATTTTTTAACTTAAGTACCCATCTTACTCACGTAGACCTCTCTTATAACCAATTAGATGGTCCCATTCCTGATACTTTCGGGGAATTGAATTTTCTTGAGAAGCTTCGAGTGACTGGGAATATGTTCCATGAGATTCCAACATCCTTGGGAAATTTAAATCATCTGAGCATACACCTAATATCAGATAATACATTAAATGAATCTCTTCCTCATTTACTTCAAAAGTTATCAGGGATAGCATCGAAAACACCGGAGTGGATAAATTTAAACTGCAATCAACTTGTTGATTCCTTCCCAGATATCACCCAATTTTCATCCTTAAAACGAGTTGGGTCATGGTAACAATCAGTTGAACGAGTTTCAGCCACTAAGACTTGGGCGACCTTCAACTCTTGAAACTTTGGATTTGTCGAACTATAAACTTGGAGATTCCTTGCCGGACTTGAGAGCATATTCGTCACTGCAAGAATCACATATCTTTGGAAATCAATTAGAAAGGCTACCCGAAAGTATTTGGCAACTTTCCAAACTAAAAAAGTTGGACCCTCTTCAAATTCATTGGAAGGAACAAGCACAGAATATTACATCTCAAAGTTAGCCCACTTAGACGTGCTAGATTTGTCCAACAATTTCCCAGCTTTGAACACAAACTCTGATTGGTCCTCCATTTCAATGGAGCTCATTATACCTCAGAATTTGCAATGTGGGACATGAATTTCCAAAAGGCTTCAAACTCAGAAAAATCTTTCTAACCATTGAAATGTCTTTTGCTAGTTGTTGGGTTTTTTGATCCCCAATAATCTCGGGCGATGATGTTAATGTTGTTTCTAGAGTTTGACCTTACTCTTTCGAAACCAATCCGACAGAATCACCTAAATGTAAAAAAATTGATTAACAGGATCCAAAAAGTAATTCGAGCCCACCGACTTCACGATATTTCCTTAAAACGAATTTGCTGCCTTCAATGGTGCTAAAAGCGTTCAGCAATCGTTTCTCAGGATAGAACGAATTTTCGTCTCCTATGGAAGTAGCACTGCAATCTGCAGGAGTTCCAACGAACTCAACGAAGTGTGTTTTACTTCAAGACAATATCAGAACGAGAAAGAGGGAATGAGATTCAAAACACAGAAAGTTTGCAATGAAAATGGTGTAAATTTTCTGGTAGAGAGGCAGGCTATTTATAGACTTGTTCATGGCCATTCGAACAGTCATCACCTTTCAGACAAACCTCAAAAACCTGAACAGACATGTT